CTTTTCACACGGCCAGTTTGTTGTGGCCTCCAGATTCCTGCAGCAAATATCTGCGAAATCTTGCTGCAGGAATGACCGGGTTATACGATTAGCATCGGCCACTATTTATCTATTTCAGGTACTTATATAGCGCTGTCAATTTATGCAGTGCTTTACATACATATTCTACATTCTCATCAGTCCCTAACCCTCAAGGGGCATACAATCCAAGGTCCACACAGCCCATGTAAACTAATGGTGGGCTGACAGCGGCTGCTAATCGCATAACCCGGTCATTCCCACAGTAAGAATCTGTAGATTCTTGCTGCAGAAATCTGGAGGCCACAACAAACTGACCGTGTGAAAGGGGTCTTACTGAGTGACATTTAGTTTGTTAAAGCACTGTGTATTAAAAACAGTTGCCATTTTTAAAAAATAAAATACACGTTTGGCCTTTTTTTTTTTCTCTTGTTCTATCTCAGTGCTGCTGATTTCCTGCAACTTCCTGTCCACATGTATGCATTCCAGTGATGACTGTATGGCATGTCTCAGGGCAAATTCACTGATGGTGACAACAGTGTACCATGCCTTTGTAATCTATGCTGCAACAACCGTTTGTAGTCACTATAGGCGGGACAGTTAGGAGACAGGGACAGAGCATGGTCACCTTTTAACAGAAAGTGTCTTAACAAGGACTTTCATGGCAGGATCATCAGGTATTATTTTAAAGAAGATACACATTTAAAAATATTGAAATATTAAATTGGGCAGCGCAGTGGCTAAAAGGTTAGCACTTCTGCCTGGCAGTACTAGGGTCGTTGGTTCAAATCCCAGCCATGACACCACCTGCCTGGAGTTTGCATGTTCTCCCTGTGACTGCGTGGGTTTCCTCCAGGTACTCCGGTTTCCTCCCACACTCCAAAGACATGCTAGTAGGTTAATTGGCTCCTGTCTAAATTGGCCCTAGTATGTGTATGTATGGATGTGAGTTAGGGACCTTAGATTGTATGCCCCTTAAGGGTTAGGGACTGATGTGAATGTACAATATATAAGTAAAGCGCTGCATAAATTGACGGCGCTATATAAGTACCTGAAATAAAATTATAAAATGGCTTTTGAAATTATGTCCACATTATAGCTTATATGAGATTTCTACTTTTAATGCTAGCTGTATAATGCGCCATACTACGCAGACACTACTCTGCATGTTATATTTTAGTTCTCAAAGTAAGAGAAGTCAGCTAAAACCTTGAATAAGATGAATAAGGCTGTCAATACATGGCTCAACTTCTTTTATTCAGCCCGGGCTGAATGAGAGAAATCAACTGGTTCCCCAATGCACACTATACAGCATTGATGGAGGAATCTGCACCTGCCAGCTATTGTGTTCAGACATCTGAGGCACCAGCTACTGCCTGAATATCTCAACAGTGACTACATCTGATAGGATGCTGTAACTATTTGAAGAACAATTTTCCACTCGGCTCAGTTGGTTCTTAAAACGTTTGTCCTACCAGATGGTGCTTGCAGGACCACTCACACCATGAATTTCAGCAGATTTAGTGGGAACTGGTTAAAATTCAAGCTGTCTATAGCAGGGGATCAGGAAGGATTATTTTTCCCTGCAGGAGCAAATTGGATCATGCTTTGCTGGGTTTAGGATTCTAACTTTTTTTTTTTTTTTAATGGTTGAACTTGATGGACTTTTGTCTTTTTTCAGCCGGACTAACTATGTAACTATGTAGCTTTAAGGCGGCCATACATGGATCAAAATTCTGGCAGTTCTGCAGGGACTGGCCAAATTTTGATCCATGTATAGGCAGACTGGCTGTACAGAAGTCGATCTACTAATGGACTTCTGTACCACCAGCCTGTTGGGCTTTTCGCAAATGATCAGTGCCACTAGCGATAGCCATCAACAATGACCAGTGTATTCTGATGGTGGGAGGGCTCCCCACTGGCACAGTGGAAACAATACTTCATTCCACCTTGAATGTGTGGATGGGGGAATGTAGTATTTTTTTTTACTTTCAACCCGCTGGTTGAACGAAAACAAATGATCAAATGAAACAAATGATACAGCCTGGCTGTATCTTTTTTTTTCAGGTTATTCACACAAAATTTCTGATGTATGTGTGATGAGCAGAATTCTGATGTGGAAATCATTAGCTAGGAATGCTTATTAATAAGGAACACAAATCCTTTATATATCCTCTTGTACACCAATAAAGGGAACACAATTATGCTTCTATACTTAATGCTTTTAAACAAATCTGCCGCATATAAAGTAAGTTTACAGTGTTCAGAGCAGATGGATACATTGTATACTTTGTCCCTATGGTACAATGTAGGAAGCAGCATAGAGGTGGATATCACTGCTCTGCTGTTGGACTGTAGAGATAATTATTTTGCTTACTCAGCTTTGTATTACACAGACTGAAGACTGATATACCCAGTGAAACTGTTCATTATCTAACTAGTGTATGTAAATGCTCTTATCTTAATAGATATTCATGCCATCATTTCATCTTAGAAATGGTTTGCTGGTACTAGCTATTCATGTTGCTGGAGCGGCTGTAATGTACTTAAATGGAGAAGGCAGCATGTTTTCTTGAGTGTTTTGTATACAGTAGCCAAGTACTGTACACTTCCATATGAAGCATCATTCATAAACCGGCACTCTGCCAGCTCAGCACACATACAGACTAAAGCTGGCCATACATTGCTTGAATTTCAACCATATGGCTAGCTTTACTTTTAAAGGGAAAATGTCATGAGAGAATCATGGACGCTGCCACTGCTGAAAATGCTAGTTGTCTGGCTATTGTGCTGACCAGTTTGATTGACTGTGGGTCAATATCATGAAGGCACCAGATCACCAAGCCTTCCAGACATTAAGATATTCATAAGCAGGTCAGCAATGGTAGCTCCCATTACATCATTACAGCCTGTGAGAAGAAGAAAGCATAAGCCACCATTACTGACCTCTCCTTTCAAAAATGCGTATTGCCTGGATGTTGTGCTCATGCTTTGGGCTTCAGTAATACTGACCTAGAAAGAGTATAGCAAAAAGGACTTCTCATGGTTTTTTTTATTTTCCTGCCTGTTCTTGGTCATGGACTCTCTTGTTGAGTCCAAACAGAGCCAGGAAACATATTTTGTACTTAAAGAAACCAAGAGTATACAAAAACATATAGTAGGACGTATAGCCTTCAGTGCAATGTGGCTTCATATACATGGCCATAAAAAAATGCATATATAAGTGCTTTTTTTATTACACATCTAAATGCAGCCACATTCATTTCAATTGAGCAAATCACACAAGTGTGCAAACATGAGCTGCTTTCAGATCTGTAACACAGAATCCAAAAATCTGCATCCAAGAACATGCACTTTACACACGTATGCGTATAAACACATGTATATGCATTTGCAAGTGCATAAATTAAGTCTAAACAAAGGGGAAGAATAATTTATCATAAAAACGAATTATGTATGCATGCACATCTTTATGCATTTAAATCAGTACACAAGTATTTTTCTGATCATTAGCAGTGACTTTTCTCCTAGAAAACACATGTGTAATAACATCAGTAAAATTTTTAAGGCTGTGTCAATAAACTCTAACTAGAGAAAAGAGAGCAAGTCAAGGGGAATTGTTTCTGATAGCAGTCAATCAGAAATGCAACTTATTAATTCCCTAAAATGAAAGGTAAAAACCTCATAGATCATTATTGGCTACAACTCCACTTGTCTTTATTTTATTTTCTCCGGTTTTCATGAATTAACCCCTAAGTAAGTCCTGTGTAATAAAAAATGAAAACTTACTGGGTGGTAGTGAGCCCAATTACTAGTTACCATGGCACCCCTTGAAAAAATTGTTTTTATTTGGTCATTATTTTTCTGCATATTACTTATTTTTTTTATATGAGCTGATCAGTAAAAAGTCACAGTAAATGCTCAAGCTATCTTCTTTTACAATCCAATTTTATGTATGAGAAGGGCAATTATTGCTATTTGTATAATTTAAAAATCATATAATGTGCCTTCGTATCATTGAAAGTACAGGTATAAACAACCACAACTAATAATAATAATAGTAATCAGAATAAAAAATGTCTATTAATATTAATTAGGTTGTGTCTAAGTGATTTACAGATGTACTTTATGATTAACATTTTTCTTGTTTTTTTTTTTAAATATATTATTGCTAATGTTTAGAGGGAAAAAATCTTATGCAAGTTATTTTATATTTAGGATAACAAAAAATTAAAATGCGTTTTTACTGGTATTGAGGATATTATCTATTGATTTATTTAATAAAAAGTGGAAACTGCAATTCCAGTAGCAATCCACAGCAGCCCAATTCAGGTTTTCGTTATTCTTGTAACACTGTTACATTGCTATTCTTGTCATCTATTGCAGATCATCACTCCACACTAAGTTTTTACATTCCCTTCTTATGTGCTTACTTTATTCAAAGGTAAAAAGGGCAATTATGTGCTCTATGCATATACTCCACTCTCTCTCTCTCTCTCCTCTCTCTCTCCCCCTCTCTCTCTCTCTCTCCACTCTACTTGTGCAATTAAGTGTTAAAAGTCCAGTATATTTCAACAGTTTGGCGTTGTGGTAAGATTTATTGGTGTAGTTTACTGCACATCAGTGCAATTTGCATGAATGCCTGTAATTACTTGTCTTATTTGTTATCTGGGTACCTTCTGTTCTGTTTTATTAACTGCAATATACATTAAAATACATGATGGGATTGGAGGAAGGAAACATTGTTCTTGTTGCCCCTAGCACCCAAATCAGATCTTTTATTTCAATTTCTAAAGTTCTCAGAAAAAAAAATATACTTGGAATCTGATTGGTTGCCATGGACAACAAGAACTGTTTTTGTTTTCTTCCACCCACCTGTCTTTGTGAATTTCTAGCAGTAGGTATTGCATAGAGCCCTAGTTTCAGAGCATTTTAAAATTAACAGTCAGTCCAAGATATAAAATAGCTAACAGTTCACCTACCCAGCATTTTTACAGTCTGTTTGTTATTCTTGTCCCTGTGGGAGGCACTTGGTCCTATAGTATCCCGCTTCCTCCTCCACAGTTTTCTTCCAATAAGACTGTAAAGAACCGTGAGGCAGAAGACTGGTAGGAAGAAGAAGACACTGGATGTCCAGACCATGATAGTGAGCAGACCAGACTTCACAGCATACTCTGTAGCTTTACATTCATTTGTCTCAAGGGGATTGGTACCATTCTCATGTTCAACCCCAACCAAGACAAAGATGGGTCCAGCACTGACAAAAGACACTGCCCACAGCACAAAGATGACCAGCTTTACCCTGCCCTTAGTGATGACCACCTTGGCTTTCAGAGGAAAACAGATGGCAAAATACCTCTCCACACTAAGGGCAGTGATATTGAGGATCGTGGAGTAAGTGCAACTTTCACTGATAAACTGGAAGAGTTTACACAAGAGGCTTCCAAAATTCCAGGGTCGATACTGCCATAGTCTGTACAGGTCAAGTGGCATGCACACAAAGATGAGCAGGTCTGAAAAAGCCATACTAGACAAATATAGATTGGTTGTAGTCCTCATATCTTTGTACTTGGATACCACCAACATAGTCATGATGTTCCCAAATATCCCGATGGTGAACAGGAATATGCAAGTAACAGTTATCCCTGTGAGGACTGGCACTGGGAATAGATACCCTGGATCTTCAGGCCAGGAGTGATTATAGTAGTAATAATCCATGGTGCTGTTCTGTGCAGGGTAAGTCTTATTGGCTATGGACCATACCTGGCTGTGTGTATGGTATTGAGACAGTCTTGCCTCCATGGCTGTCAATGATATGGACGCATCTCTGGCATTTCTTCATTTCTACTGTACTGATGTACAAACTTCAAGGAATGCTGTAGAAACACATATAAGCAAAGTGCAAGCTTGTGACAGTGGTAACAGGTGCACAGCACATTTTCTCCACTGATGTAAAGTTCCATTTCATAAATCCATGTTGTCTATGACTGCAGGTTGCCCCCAGTATTAAGTCCATGCCCATCTTTAAGTTCAAAGCAGATTTTGTGCACAAAATGAGAATTTGGAGGTGAGGCATCCACTTGGTTGAACGCCTGATGAAAGGTGTAATATTCCTGTGACATGCTCCTGATAGGGATGGTTGCTATAAATAGTATTGGTACTCCCACTCCAGTGAGTCCCAGGCAGGACAGCTGGGTGTCTGTGGACAGTTCACATCCTTGCAGAGTGCACTGTGTCTCTAGAGCTTGCCTGGTGGGGAGAAGCTAATGAAAGGAGTTTAGCAGCACGCCCATTCTTCCTCCCCTGCTCTATATCTCATTCTGATTCTTGCTGTCAGAATACAGGGATCCACAGACACACACAGCCTGTGCTCATGCCATGTAAAGTCTATGAGACAGGGAACACAAAGCAATTTGATTTTGTTCATTTTATAGCTGATGTTATCAGAAGAAAATAGTAAAGTTATCAGAAGAAAATAGTAAAATAGAGAGATGTCTTGGGTCTTCTAAAATCTATTAACTTGGGGTAAACAGAATGCATGCAGTTGTATTAAAAGAGTGCAGCAAACTGTTGCATGGTCACCTCCGAACACTCGCCCCAGTACTTTATCATTTATCGCTACTGATATCAAACTGCAGCTAATGAAGCAATCTGTCTTTCACTTCCATTCACACAGTGACAGCTGTACAATTTGAACTGGGAATTAATGTTTGTTGACAATAAAGCTGATAAAAGTGAACACCACTCTCTGCACCCAGTAGCAGCTGCTTTATGTAATATTTATAAGAGGAGAGACAATTTCGAAGGAGCCAAATGCAGAACACAAATGTCAACAGATTCACAGTGTGTGATTGTAAACAATGCTGTGTCCTCATGATAAAGTAAATTACAGCACACAACTAACACCGACAACCTTATCTATACGTTTATACCCTTAATATCTTCAATAGTATTGAAAAATGGATCTCGGAAGCTGCTGTCATTTAACTGACTTGTTTAACCACTTGCCATCCAGAGGATTTACCCCCCCCCCCCCCCCCCCTCCTGACCAGGCCATTTTTTGCATTACCATGCTGCATTACTTTAACTGACAATTGTGCGGTCATGCAACACTGCACCCAAATGAAATTTATGTCCTTTTTTCCCACAAATGGAGCTTTCTTTTGGTAGTATTTGATCACCTGTGCGGTTTTTATTTTTTGCGCTATAAACAAAAAAAGACTGACAATTTTGAGGAAAAAAAAAACAATATTTTTGACTTTTTGCTATAAAACATCCAGTAAAAAAATTTTAAAAATCAAATTATGGCCAAAAGGTCTTTGCTAAAAAAAAATCCCATTACGTGTAAATTAATTGGTTTACATGAAAGTCATAGCAGCTACAAATGGCAGTATATATATTTTTTTTTTTACTAGTAGTGGCGATCAGCGACTTATAGCGGGACTGCGGGATTTTGCAGAGCAAGGTTGGCAGCTAGTGCACATGCTCAGTGTTCAGTGTTTTTCTATCTTGAGTATTTCCTCCCTATCACATCTGAGCAGCCCATGTGACTACAGAGTCACACATGTGGGTGCATACAGAGTGGTAAATGATGGTCCACTCCCTCCCTCCTCCTTCATGCCCATTTACCAGCTAAACACAATGAGGGTGTGATATTATATCTTTATTGATGGAGGCTTCACCTCCCTGTTATTCTAAGACACAGGCTGGAGGGGCTGGGCCTGTGATTGACTGACAGAAAATCCACCCACAACCTGTTGTTATTGCCAAAAAATAATAAAGATTGTATTTGTATGTCAAGAGCTTTGAAACAGTTTACGGATATTAATGATTAATTTTTTCACTCTGTATCCCAAAAAAGCTGTGTTTTTATTACTTTAACATGTGGCCAGCAACAGAGAACTAATGAAGCTCCCCTGCCACAGATAGAGCTGCTTCTCTGCAAAAAAAAAAAAAAAACACTTTTAAAAAAAAAAAATTTTTGTTATAAAAAAATTTTGTAAATAAGTGATTTTTCTCCTTCACTGATGTGCGCTAATGAGGCTGCAGTGATGGGCACTGATAGGCTGCACAGATGGACACTGATAGGTGGCACTGATGGCACTGATGAGGAGGCACTGCTAGGTGGTACTGATGGGCATTGACAGGCATCACTGATGGGCACTGAAAGGCAGCACTGATACATGGCACTGATACATGGCACTGATATATGGCACTGTTAGGCGGCACTGACTGGCACTGTTAGGTGGCACTGACTGGCACTGATAGGTGGCACTGATGCACACTGATAGGCGGCACTGAGTGGCACTGATAGGCGGCACTGACTGGCACTGATAGGTTGCACTGATTGGCCGAACTGATAGGTGGCACTGACTGGCACTGATGGATGACACTGAAAGGCAGCTCAGATGGGCACTGATATGTGGCATTGATGTGCACTGGTATGCACTGATATGTGGCATTGATGTGGCACTGATAGGCACTGGCATGTGGCACTGATCGACACTGACAGCTGGCACTGATGGACTTTGACAGGTGGCCTGCTGGGGCTACACTGATCATCAGGGCACACTGATCATCAGTGCCCTGATGAGCAGTGTACATGTCCCCTCCGCGGAAAGCCGATTACCGGCTCTCCTCTCCTCTCGAGCTGTCAGCATGACAGCTTGAGAGGGTCTGAACCCGAGACCCCTGCCCGGGGGTAGATTGCCGCCTGTTGCCTGAGGTCCCTGCCCAGTGGTAGGTTGCCGCCTGTTGCCTGAGGTCCCTGCCCAGTGGTAGGTTGCCGCCTGTTGCTCGAGACCCCTGCCCAGGGGTAGATTGCCGCCTGTTGCCCGAGGTCCCTGCCCAGTGTTAGGTTGCCACCTGTTGCCCGAGGTCCCTGCCCAGTGGTAGGTTGCCGCCTGTTGCCCGAGGTCCCTGCCCAGTGGTAGGTTGCCGCCTGTTGCCCGAAGGTCCCTGCTCAGTGGTAGGTTGCCGCCTGTTGCCCGAGGTCCCTGCCCAGTGGTAGGTTGCCGCCTGTTGCCTGAGACCCCTGCCCAGGGGTAGATTGCCGCCTGTTGCCCGAGGTCCCTGCCCAGTGGTAGGTTGCCACCTGTTGCTCGAGACCTCTGCCCAGGGGTAGATTGCCACCTGTTGCCCGAGGCCCCTGCCCAGTGGTAGGTTGCCGCCTGTTGCTCGAGACCCCTGCCCAGGAGTAGATTGCCGCCTGTTGCCCGAGGCCCCTGCCCAGTGGTAGATTGCCGCCTGTTGCCCAAGGTCTCTGCCCAGTGGTAGGTTGCCGCCTGTTGCCCGAGACCCTGCCCAGGGGTAGATTGCTGCCTGTTGCCCGAGGTCCCTGCCCAGTGGTAGGTTGCCGCCTGTTGCTCGAGACCCCTGCCCTGGGGTAGATTGCCTGCCTGTTGCCCGAGACCCCTGCTCAGGGGTAGGTTGCCTGCCTGTTGCCCAAGTCTCCAATCCGCTGTCCAGTCACGGAGGGAGCTCAGCTGAGGCCCCAAGCCTATGGGGGAGAATGCCTGCCTGTCGCCGAAGACCCCCCGTGCCTGGAATCGTCCCTGGTTTGCGCACACATCACCCTCCCTGCCATTTCCCCATTTAGTGTCTGTCATTTTGTTGCTGCAATAAAGCTTTGTGTGTTCCCCATCATCTCTGTGTGCTCTGTCCTGCCTACGCTTCCATTACACCTGGTATTTCTGGTAGTGGCCATCTTGCGTAAGGGCAGATGAATCATGTAGCATTTACTTCCTGGAATCCATCTGCCTTTAGCTCAGGCATTAGCTGAGCTGAGAACCATCTCTCCCCTCTTGAAGGCATGTTGGATGTTTGACATAATTTGCCTAGGTATGGAAACCAGGATATAACTGAACAAAAGTAAGAAAAAAAAATATAATATACTATCTATTTAAAAAATACTAGCAGCATGGGGATTAAAAATAGTCCATGATGAGTGAGAGAATGAAGTTCCACTTTACACTGCATTTTTTTCTTTGTAAATGTAATTTTTGCTGCAGCAGGCTCTATACATTGTACAGATGCATTATTTTACAGGCACATTAAGAGAATCCCCCAGGCATGTTATTTAAATACATTTAGCATTTGTAATGTTGCACTTTAAGGATTATTAAAAATGGATGCCCCTTGCCTACTGGATAAATGTTCTCCATGGCAGCTCCCAGCCTCCCCCACCCCATTGCCATTTGTTTGGCAATTCCTTGAGTATTAGTCCAGAAAATGGCCATTAGTGTTTTTTTTTATCATTCTCCTCCAAATGATTTTAAAAGGGCTCGGATTCTGAACCCAAACTTCAGCAATGTTTAGCATGCCCACCCTCTATATATTTATCTATTTCCACCCTGAACTTAACCTAGGTAGGTTCGGTTCATCCCTGGTAATAAGCAATGATCATGTTCAAAGTACAATCCAAAAAAATCTTTCACTTGACCTTAGTTTTGTATACTAAAAGCTGTCATGGTTATTGATACTTTGTACCCTAAATTCAACCGAGAGATCGGATGTTTCTGTTATAGTTTGCAGTGCCAACATTCTAAAACCTCTATAAATGTTTCTTTCACTGTTTTCATCTGTAGTTAGTCAAAAACCCTTTTGTTGTCAATAGGAGAAACATGCTGAAAAATATGCTATATATCTATAAATATGTTCATGTTTAAGCTATATTTTATAGCTTAAATATATTATTTTATATTTTTTATATATATTTA